GAAGGAAAATGTTAAAACTTGTCAAAATATAGAAGACATTGTTCATTTGTAATGGAATTTGGAGTTTAAACGCTTGAATGACATTTTCATTTTGTAGCACTGCTCACCATTGAGAACAGATCTAGGCAGGGGGAAAGGCACAGAGAATGCCAGAATCTAGACTAAAAAAGTCTCCATGGTCAAAGCTGAACAAATCTAAGAAAGTTGACAATACTGGCTTGTAACCTGCAGAGCAAGATAAACACCCATATATTCTTACTAATATAAACAAATAAATATTGTAGAGAATTCCTACTAGTACCTCCTGAAGGAATGGAGAGGAAAAAATGGGGACGAAAGCACCCAGAATTATGCTACAGGTGCCTAGAATGGGCTTAGGGGTTTATCTCAGTGTACCTGCCTAGCACACCCAAGACCCTGAGTTCAGTCCCCAAGCAGCCTCTGAGGACAAGAGCAAAGACAGTATTCATATTAGCTACATAAACTTTAAGGAGAAATAGAATGCCTGCAGTCTCCCTTATAGCAGAGGTTTTTCTCTGTCTGAAGCAATGAAGTACATTATGCAACCCATCATATACACAGCTGGTACAGCTAGGAAAACTCATTTGTTTGCACCGAGTACAGTGGTTGTTACTCCAAAGTCTCCTCTCCTACATGAGGCAGGACAGAGTGTGCCTGGGGTCACAGGGGAGCACCGGCAGGTGAGTCTACCCTGGCCTAACCACATTGCTGTGTTCTCAGTGCCCGCAGTGCAAGCAGCTCCTTCAGAACCGGTGTTGCTTTTTTTTTTTATTAAGTTTTTATTTTTCATATTAATTACAGTTTATTCACTTTGTATCCCAGCTGTAGCCCCTTCCCTTATTCCCTCCCAATCCCACCCTCCCTCCCTCATCTCCTCCCTGCCCCTCTCTAAGTCTAAGGGAAGTTCCTCCTCCCCTTCCATCTGACCCTAGCTTATCAGGTCTCATCAGGACTGGCTGCATTGTCTTCCTCTGTGGCCTGGTAAGGCTGTTCCCCCATCAAGGGGAAGTGATCAAAGAGCCAGCCACTGAGTTCATGTCAGAGACAGTCCCTGTACCCCTTACTAGGGAACCCACTTGGATACTGAGCTGCTATGGACTACATCCAAGTAGGGGTTCTAAGTTATCTCCATGAATGATTCTTGGTTGGAGAATCAGTCTCAGAAAAGACCCCTGGGCCCAGATATATTTGGTCCTTGTGGAGCTCCTGTCCTCTCCAGGTCTTTATAACTCCCACTTCTTTCATAAGATTCCCTGCACTCTGCCCAAAGTTTGGATATGAGTCTCAGCATATGCTTTGATACACTGCTAAGTAGACTCTTTTATAGGCCCTCTATGGTAGGCTCCTGTCCTGTTTCTTGTTTTCTCCTACTTTCAATGTCCATCCCATTTGTCTAAGTGAGGATTGATCATCTTACCCTGAGTCCTCCTCCTTGTTTATCTTCTTTAGGTATACAGACTTTAGTATGTTTATCCTTTATTATATATCTAATATCCACTTATATGTGAGTATATACCATGTGTGTCTTCCTGCTTCTGGGATACTTCACTCAGGATGATCTTTTCTAGATGCCACCATTTGCCTGGAAATTTTATGATTTCTTTGTTTTTAATTGCTGAGTAGTATTCCATTGTGTAAATGTACCACAATTTCTGTATCCATTCCTCAGTTGAGGGGCATCTGGGTTGTTTCTAGGCTCTGGCTATTACAAATAATGCTGCTACAAACATGGTTGAGTAAATGTCCTTGTTGTGTACTTGAGCATATTTTGGATATATGCCTAGGAGTGGTATAGCTGGATCTTGAGGCAGTGCTATTCCTAATTGTCTGAGAAAGCACCAGACTGATTTCCAAAGTGGTTGTACAAGTTTACATTCCCACCAGCAATGGAGGAGGGTTCCTCTTTCTCCACAACCTCTTCAGCATGTGTTGTCACTTGAGTTTTTGATCTTACCCATTCTGATGGCTAAATTTCAGGGTTGTTTTGATTTGCATCTCCCTAATGACTAAAGACATTGAACATTTCTTAGTTTTTCTCTGCCATTGTATATTCCTCTACAGAGAATTCTCTGTTTAGCTCTGTACCCCAATTTTTAATTGGATTACTTAGTTTGTTGCTGTTTAACTTCTTGAGTTCTTTATATATTCTGGATATTAGCCTTCTGTCAGATATAGGGTTGGTGAAGATTCTTTCCCAGTCTGTAGGCTGTTGTTTGTTCTAATGACAGTGTCCTTTGCTTTACAGAAGCTTTTCAGCTTCCATTTATCGATTGTTGATCTTAGAGCCTATGCTGTTGGTGTTCTGTTCAGAAAGCTGTTTCCTGTGCCAATGAGTTCAAGCTCTTTCCCACTTTTTCTTCTAACAGATTTAGTGTATCTGGTTTTATGTTGAGGTCTTTGATCCACTTGGACTTTGGTTTTGTGCAGGGTGATAAGTATGGGTCTATTTGCATTTTTCTACATGTAGACATACAGTTAGACCAGCACAATTTGTTGAAAATGCTATCTGTTTTCCATTGTATGGTTTTGGTTTCTTTGTCAAAAATCAGGTGTCCTCTTTAACATAGCATTTGAAGTCCTTGCTAGAGCAATAGGACAACTAAAGGAGATAAGGGGATTCAGTTCAGCAAAGAAGAAGTCAAAGTATCACTATTTGCTAATGATATGTTAGTATACATGAGTGACCCCCAAAATTCTACCAGGGAACTCTTACAGCTGATAAACACCTTCAGCAAAGTGGCTGGATACAAAATCAACTCAAAAAAATCAGTAGCCCTCCTGTATACAAAAGACAAAAGGGCTGAGAAAGAAATTAAGGAAACAACACCCTTCACAATAGCCACAGAGGACATAAAGTACCTTGGTGTAACTCTAACCAAGCAAGTCAAAGATTTGTATGAAAAAAACTTTCAGCCTCTGAAGAAAGAAATCAAAGAAGATATCAGAAGATGGAAAGATCTCCCATGCTCATGGCTTAAGGATTAACATAGTAAAAATGGCCATTTTACCAAAAGCAATCTTCACATTCAATGAATGCCCATCAAATTACCAACACAATTCTTTACAGACCTTGAAAGAGAAATTCTCAACTTCATCTGGAATAACAAGAAACCCAAAATTGCTAAAACAACCCTCTACAATAAACGATCTTCTGGAGGTATCTCCATCCCTGATCTCAAGCTGTACCATAGAGCAACAGTAGTAAAAACGGCATGGTACTGGCATAGAAACAGAACGTGGATGAATGGAATAATATAGAATCGGTGTTTCTTTTCCAGTGAGACACAGAACAGGGAGCTGCTCTATGACTGGCTTCGTATACACACTGGATGAACCATCCCCCACACACCTAGAAAATAACTAGAACTCTGATGACAACAGGAATATCGCAAAACACCATCATGCTTTTAATAAACACCCCAAATTTCTCCAAGGGGCAGAGCACAACCTTAAAGAGGGTCTGAACTCAGGACATCTGTTTTCAACCCTGTAGATCGTGACCCTTTTTGGGGGGATGATCGGATATTTATGTTATGATTCATGACAGTAGAAAAATCATTTATGAAGTAGCAGCAAAAAAATAAACATACGGTTGCGGGCCAGCACAACATGAGGAACGTATTAAAGGTCACAGCATCAGGAAGGTTGGGAAGCGCTGGCTCAGAAGGAAAAGAAAACTAGGAGCTAGGATTGGGAGAGCCGAGATTTCTCTCAACCAATGGCCCAAGGTCACTGTCACCGTAATCAGATGGGCTTCTGAGAGCTCATGGTGTGAGGTGGTGAGGGGCCATTGTATCTCCGTGGGGGTCTCCCTCAAGATCTACAACCCCTGTCTACTCTAAGAGCACACAGAGGGTCATAGCACGGGGCACATTCCAAAATCTCTATACAGCAGGCTTCAAAGCCTCAGGAAGAGCCGAGGAGACATCATCACAAAGAGGAGGAAACAAAACAGAAATCTAATCAGGACATAGTGCAGTCTGGGATGGGAATATTAACAAAAGACAGATGAAAAAACCGATGGAATTCAGTTAGAATTGACCTGTGTCCCCAGCTGAGTCCTATCAATCTAGAGTTATCTGTAAGTTAAGTTTTCCAACGTCTATGCAGTTGTTATTTTTAATTTAAAAAAAAAATTTTTTTTGAGACAAGGTCTCATGTAGTTCATTATGATCTCAAACTCACTGCGTAGCCAGCTGGTTTTGAACCCCTGACTATCCTTCCTCAGGCTCCTGGGGATGTCTTATTATTAATTATATATACAATTATATATACAATTATATATAATTATTAATTAATATATTATTAATAATATAAACATTGTGAGCTTGTAGACGTTGAGAGGAACATATGTCTCATAAGTTCTGACTTTTTTTACTTTTGACATTTTTATTTTTCAGCAATTTGATGGTTCTACAATTATTATAGCAAGCAAATATAGAAGATGGTGCCTTTCTCTTTGGGAAAAATTTCCACTTTTCCAAGTGATCTGTTTGACCAGTGTGGTGATGTGAATAGGAATGCCCATTCGAGCTACTCATGTGTGGAAATGTTTGGCCCATAAGGAGTGGTACTATTAGGAGGTGAGGTCTTGCTGGAAAAGGTGTGACCTTGTTGGAGGAAGTGTGTCACTGTGGGGGTGGGCTTTGAGGTCTCCTATGCTAAAACTAGGTCCAGTGACAGTCCCCTTCTGCTGTGGATCAAGACGTAGAACTCTTCAGCTCTGCCAGCACCATGTCAGCCTGCACGCCACCATGCTTCCCGCCATGATGATAATGGACTAAACCTCCAAAACTGTAAGCCAGCCCAATTAAATGTTTGCCTTTTTAAGAGTTGCCTTGGTTATGGTGTCTCTTCACAGCAAGAAAACCCTAAGACATCCAGTGTTACTTTTAAGTATTGGTACACTCTATTTATATATGATAACACACATGGCTTCTTTTGAAAGTGTTCTCTAGAAAATAATTAAGAAATCCAGGTAAAGAGGAATAAAAATATTTAATTGTTGAAATACACTGGTAAACTGAGTCGCTTAGCCTGCAGTCATAAGTAGGTATACACGTTGTTAGCAAATTAAGAACTTTCCAGATATCCCACTAAACATCAACCACAAGTCCTAAGAGACAGTTCGGAGTTTGCACAGTGACATCCTTCGATTCCACGAGGGGAGAAGAGGCAATTGGACAGCTGCAGAATGTTACAATTACATAAGCTTTGATTGAAGAAAATAGGACCGCAATCCACACGTGGGCACAGCATGCAAACTTGACGAGTTCATTTTCAAGTACTGAAGTGTTCTTAAACAAAGGGAATCCTCTGACATTTAAATAAAAACCTTAAATCAGCTAGTAAAAAAGGGAGATAGTTGTAAGAATCGATTTACCAACTTTACAGCTAAAAAATAATGAAGTAGAAACATCAAAGGACAAGAGGCAATGTATCAGTTCAGGTCACCCCTTTACATGGCCCAAATACCGTGTTATAAATACAATAAGGACTGTGTTATATAAAAACTATCAAAAGAGTATCAGTGAAAAGACATGACTTCGTGAAATGTGTTGAAAGGCCAGGATGGGAATGCTATGGTACAGAGCCTGATGGCCCAGGCCGGGCAGCAACAGCCTTTATGGTTTTCACTGGTGGATGACACAGAGTCTCACCCATTTCCTTCTATGATCACAATTTGGTGTAGACTCATGGCTTTAACGACACAGTTAGGATTGGGGGGAGGTGGCACAGACCATTCAGGATTTGTTTGATGATATCTGTGTACATACAATGTCCCTGGAGCCAAATTCCTTCCAAATTCATGAGCAAGCTATGAAAGGAAAAAAGAAAAGGGGGAAAAAAGAATTAACACACTCAAAAATCACAACTTAGATAAAAGCACATGTGTTAAGCCTGCAAATTATTTACTGATCCCCTTTTAAATAGAGTTCAGATAAAGAAGGATAAAGGGGGGGCAGATCACACAAGGACAAAACGACAGTGAACCCAGCAATTCTGTGTGGGGAGGGGCTTTGCTCTACTCAAACACTAGACTTAAAAAATCCTTAGTGATAAATATGGATCTGTTTGCATTTTTCTACATCCAATCACGACTACTTAAGATTTGCTTTGGGGCAGCATAGTTCTGAATGTTGGTAATAGTTATATAAAGAGATCAAATTTGATGCTGAGAGACTTATAAAAATACAATTAAACTACAGAATAACAATGGTCAAACCAGGCTGTGTGCAAATCAGTATGAAACTCACAACACAGACATTCCCAGCCTTAAATGCAGAGGGGCCCACCACTCACAGCCTGTGGAGGCCCTTGCTGGGGGCTACTGACGGGACTGGTCCCCACTGGAGTCTGAGAGCCATCTCCTCAGCTGCTGTTTGCTGGCTTAGTGGAAAGCAGGCCTATGCTACCCCTTCCCTCCTGGGTAGAGGATGCCTCTCATAAAGCCACAGCTATCTGGCTGCAGTTTCCACTCCGGAGTAAGGCGCATAAGAAACTACACATTGTATCATCACGTAAGTGATGCCAAGATGCTGAGGTCATTCCTCGGTTTTGCCCAAAGAGTAGCCAAATGAGCTCACGGAGTGCGTCCCATTCATAAAGACCGTGTGTTAGCCACAAAATAGTGTAGTTTGTCCTTGGTATCAAAAGTTTCCCAGGATAGCCCGTCCATCAAGATTCTGTCCGATGAGAGGCCTGGAAAGCCATGATGTAGGAGTGTCACAGACAAGTGGAATAATGGGCATACAGCCACCCAGGAAAATGAAATTCAAGCCATTCAGTTGAGATACCTTTCAGGCAATTCAAAGGTGAGGCAAAATGAAGGCCAGGATCAAACTGACTACTCAGCAATATGATCAGAGAAAAGAGAAAACAGAAGAGGGCAATAGTCAAAGAGCACACTCAGATCCCTGAGCAGCAGGTCCAGCCAGCTACTTAAAGCCATGTGCGCTGTGTCAGCAATAACTGCTAACTGTTACTGGGGAGCTTCTGACCCCCACACAAAGGCAACCGGCTATCAAATCTCACTGTCCAGTGAGAAAGCTGAGGCCCAGCATAGCTCATGCAGGGTCTGTGCACAGCAGAGGTGAGCAGGTTCCTCTTCTGATCAGTTCCTACACTTTTAAAACACTCCCTCGTTATAAGAGGGAGTCGATAGCACAAGCCCTCCTTCCACCAGTTCAGCTACACAGGAGGCAGATCACACAGGGACAAAACCACAGCAAACCTGGGAACTCTGTGAGGGGAGGGGCTTTGCTCTACTCAAACACTAGATTAAAAAATTCTTAGTGATAAAGAATGGATCTGTTTGCATTTTTCTCATGTAGACAGCCAATTAGACCAGCACCATTTGTTGAAGATGCTATCTTTTTCCCATTATATGGTTTTGGCTTCTTTGTCAAAAATCAAATATCTGTAGGTGTGTGGGTTTATTTCTGGGTCTTCTATTCGATTCCATTGATCCATCATTCTGTTTCTATGCCAGTAGCATGCAATTTTTATCACTGTTGTTCTATAGTACAGCTTGAGACCAGGGATGGAGATAACTCCAGACAATCTGTTGCTGTACAAGATTGTTTTGGCAATTCTGGGGTTTTTGTTTTTCAATATGAAGTTGAGAATTGTTCTTTCAAAGTCTGTAAAGAATTGTGTTGGTATTTTGATGGGAATGGCATTAAATCTGTAGATTGGTTTTGGCAAAATGCAAATAGATCCACACCTATCACCCTGCAAAAAACCAAAGTCCAAGTGGATCAAAGACCTCAACATAAAACCAGACACACTAAACTTGTTAGAAGAAAAAGTGGGAAAGAGCTTGAACTCATTGGCACAAGAGACAGCTTTCTGAACAGAACACCAACAGCACAGGCTCTAAGATCAACAACCAATAAATGGGACCTCATGAAACTGAAAAGCTTCTGTAAAGCAAAGGATGCTGTCATCAGAACAAAACAACAGCCTACAGACTGGGAAAGAATCTTCACCAACCCTATATCTGACAGAAGGCTAATATCCAGAATATATAAAGAACTCAAGAAGTTAAACAGCAACAAACTAAGTAATCCAATTTAAAAAAAAAAATGGCCCATCCCAAAAGGCAAAGAGGATGGACATCAGAAGAAGAAAACAGGAAACAAGTTAGGAACCTGCCACAGAGGGCCTCTAAAAGGCTCTGCCCTGCAGACTATCAAAGCAGATGCTGAGACTAATGGCCAACTGTTGGGCAGAGTGCATGGAATCTTATGTACAAAGTAGGAAATAGTAAGATCTAGAGAGGACAGGAGCTCCACAAGGAAAGCAACAGAACCAAAAAATTTGAACAGAGGGGTCTTTCCAGAGACTCATACTCCAACCAAGTACCATGCATAAAGATAATCTAGAACCCCTGCACAATGTAGCCCATGGCAGTTTAGTGTCCAAGTGGGTTCCATAGTAATGGGAACAGGGATTGCCTCTGACATAAACTGATTGGCCTGATCTTTGATCACCTCCCCCTGAGGGAGGAGCAGCCTTATAGGCCACAGAAGATGACAATGCAGCCACTCCTGGTGAGATCTGATAGACTAGGATCAGAAGGAAGTAGAGGAAGACCTCCCCTCCCAGTGAACTTGGAGAGGGGCATTCGTGGAGAAGGGGGAGGGAAGGTAAGATTAGGGAGGGGGAAGGGTTTATGAGGGGATACAAAGTGAATAAAGTGTAATTAATAAAAATTAAAATAAAAAACTGAAAAAAAATGGGGTACAGAGCTAAACAGAGAATTCTCTGTAGAGGAATATACAATGGCAGAGAAACACTTAAAGAAAGGCTCAATGTCCTTAGTCATCAGGGAGATGCAAATCAAAATGACCCTGAAATTTAGCCATCAGAATGGCTAAGATAAAAAAACTCAAGTGACAACACATGCTGAAGAGGTTGTGGAGAAAGAGGAACCCTCCTCCATTGCTGGTGGGAATGTAAACTTGTACAACCACTTTGGAAATCAGTCTGGTGCTTTCTCAGACAATTAGGAATAGCACTGCCTCAAGATCCAGCTATACCACTCCTAGGCATATATCCAAAAGATGCTCAACCATGTTCATAGCAGCTTTATTTGTAACAGCCAGAACCTAGAAACAACCCAGATGCCCCTCAACTGAGGAATGGATACAGAAATTGTGGTACATTTACACAATGGAATACTACTCAGCAATTAAAAACAAGGAAATCATGAAATTTGCAGGCAAATAGAAGGATCTAAAAAAAAATCATCCTGAGTGAGGTATCCCAGAAACAGGAAGACACATATGGTATATACTCACTTATAAGTGGAGATTAGAAATATAATATAGGATAAACATACGAAAATCTCTTCACCTAAAGAAGCTAAGCAAGAAGGAGGACCCTGGGTAAGATGATCAATCCTCACTCAGAATTGGAAGAAGAAGAAAATAGGAAACAGGACAGGAGCCTACCACAGAGGGCCTCTGAAAGACTTTACCCAGCAGTGTATCAAAGCAGATGCTGAGGCTCATAACCAAACTTTGGGCAGAGTGCAGGGAAAATTGGGGAGATAGTAAGACCTGGAGAGGGCTGGAGCTCCACAAGGAGAGCAACAGAACCAAAAAATCTGGGCCCAGGGGTCTTTTCTGAGACTTATACTCCAACCAAGGACCAAGCATGGAGATAACCTAGAATCCCTGCACAGATGTAGCCCATGCAGCTCAGTATCCAAGTGGGTTTCCTAGTAAGGAGAACAGGGACTGTCTCTGACATGAACTCGGTGGCTGGCTTTTTTATTACCTCCCCTAATGGGGGAACAGCCTTACTAGGCCACAGAGGAAGACAATGCAGTCAGTCCTGATGAGACCTGATAGGCTAGAGTTAGATGGAAGGGGAGGAGAACCTCCCCTATCAGTGGACTTAGAGAGGGGCAGGGAGGAGATGAGGGAGCGAGGGTGGGTGGGATTGGGAGTGAATGAGGGAGGGGGCTACAGCTGGGATACAAAGTGAATAAGTTGTAATTAACATAAAAAAATAAAAAATTAAAAAAAAATCCTTAGTGAATTCTGCTGGTAGGGACTCCTAAACATTCAGGCTGCCTGTCCAGTGAATTGCTCTGCAGCTGCTGTGGCCTCCCTTAAAAAGTACGCCTTTTGGGCCCCAGCCCTCCAGCAGGCACACTTCCCCATCTGTGGCCTGCTCCTCCAGCCCACCGCATCCAAACACCAGCTCCAGGACTGGCCCTGGACAAGACACGGCTTCAATAGCGAAGAACTCTTGTTTCTGGTCTGCTAGAGTCTGGGTTCCAGAAGGGGAGGTAGAGGAGGAAGAAGAGGGAGAGGGGGAAGTGGAGGAAAAGGTGGGGGAAGAGGGAAAGATGAGGAGCAGGAAGGGAGAAAGAAGATGAGGGCAATGATGAAAGCAAAAGTACTGTCCACTTCATTCACTCCTAACAGCAACCCTGTGGCTAAGCAAAAACAGCCCTTCTACAGATTACAAAAGTGAGTCCACACAAGAAAAGGAAATGTTCAGCCAGCTGCTGGAGGAGCCTGAATTCAAGCCCAAGGCTGACTTTGAAGAGAGAAAGGGCTCTCTCAGGAAACAGCACTCCTGAAAGGGGAGAATTCAGAAGAGGCTGGGTGTGTCTGGCAAAACCGACGCACAGTGGCCAGCCAAACACAGAATGTGCCGTGGGACCAAGTGAAAAGAAATTCCTCCTCCCCACATGTCTGCTCCTGGCTAGACCAGGACGACTGCCCATGCCCACTGTGCCCTGCTGTAAACTCGTCTCCTCTGGAACGTTCTGCTGCACACTGTGTTGATCCTAACCTGATTCTAGCCAGTGTCTCTGATGGAGATCTCCCATCTGCAACCCAATCCTAGGCCCTCCCAGGTTTTGGTGAGCCCTGGTGTTTTAGGCAGGCATGCAGCTTGCTCTTATTAAACAAATTACACTGTTTCTGTGAAAGAATGGGAGCTGGGAAGACAATGTACCTGAGTCTCTTTACCATGAAACACTCAAGTTACAGGAGACTCTCAACCTGGCATGCAAGATATCTAAGACACACGCTGAAATCACATCCTTGGGAGTAAGGGCAGGGGACAATTCAGAAAAACACAGTACCTTCTGGAGTGTCCACCCATCGCATCATCCCCTAATCTTAGAGAGAAAATTAGTAACAGTTAGTGTTTAGGTTTTTTAAAGCTCATTATATTTTCCAAATGGCTACAAATAGTCACACACACACACACACACACACACACACACACAC